AAGATTGAAGTGAAGTTTGAAGCAAAATATTTTGATAAGAGAAGTAAGGAAAGACAGTATAGGATATGCAATTTTAAAGGGGATGCAGAAGCAGTGGTAGCTGGGGTATATGTGCACAAATCATTGAAGGTGGCAGAGCAGGTTGAGAATAAGACTAATAACGTATAAAAGATCCTAGCTTTTATAATTTGAAACATGAAGCACTACGAAAGTAAGGAAGTTATGATGAACCTTTTATAAAACACCAGTTTAATCTGAACTGGGATATTGTTTCCAATTATGGACACGTTTTTGAAAGAATGTTAAGACACTGGAGGGAGTCCAATAAAAGATTTATGAGAATGGTTTCAGAAATGAGGGACTTCAGTAACGGCAAAGGTGGAACAGAACGTTGATAGAATATTTGATAGAATTGCTCAAAAATCATGAGGGATCTGAACAGAATATGTAGAAAGAGAGGAACTGCTCCCATTGGTGGAAGTGTCAGGAACTAGAAGACACTGATTTAACGTATTTGGCATAAGAACCAGAGGTAACATTGGGAAATGCTTTCCTATGCAGTAAATAGTTAGGATCTGGAATTCATTGTTTCAGCGTGTGGTGGAGGTAAGACTTAGGCATGGCTTTCAAAAAATGCATTGGATAATTATAATGAAGAGAAAAAAATGTTTCAGAGCTACAGGCAAAAGGCAGGAGAGTGGAATTAGCTGAATTCCTCTTGCAGAGAGAACCAGCATGGTTGCATGGCCTGAGTGGTCCTTCTCTGTTGTATCTACTCCATGATACTTTGCTCCTCTAACATCTTCCTTCACAGGCAAACATCCATCAATTTTGATTCTACTACTCCAAATTTCTACATCACCTACTTTAGCAGAAACATCAGCTCATTCAAATGTTGTTAAAATAATTACACAAAAATGTGTTAACAAACATTACTGATATATTATACTTAACAATTTCTATTTATCTGAACTTAGGTGGTGATTTTGCACTTTAAGTTAGTTAACAGACATGAATTTACTCAAACAGGGCATCTTGTAGCATGTCTGTTGTGTTTGATTTTTATTTTCTAGGCCTTCAGGTCAAAAAATCTGCACTGCAAATTGCTGGAAATGCAAGCTGATAACAGGAGTGAGCAGTCTGGGGCATCTGGGGGCTTAATAAGTAATGGAACGACAACAATTTGTCTCCTTAAAACAATGAAACAGAAGAATGACAGGGAGGGAAATAAGACAAATTAAAATTAGATTGAAAGGAAAGGAAACTTTGAATGGAGACAGGAGATAGAAACAGGAAACAAAATTTTAAGTAAACTAAAACTGAAGAACAATTTACTATCAGTAGGAATAAGACTTGAGTCTCATATTTTGCTCTACTGGACCAGGGAGATGGGACTAAATTTAATGACCTTCCTTCACACCGGTGACAAGTTGGCGGTGGAAATGGGACATTTGATCCGGGGAGGGCGACAAGTCAATCTGATTGCCTTCTTCCCACTCCAGGAGTCAAGGTTGAGGGCTTTCAAAGATATCTAGCACAGAGGTCAGCAACTAAGACTCCCCACCATATCCTCTCTTTCAATCTCTATCGCCATCTCCATCTCCATCTCCAAAGATCTCTCATGACACCTGTCATTATTCACATCTATCTGGGCCTATGATGGTCTTAGGCCTTGAGTGGATTCATTACTGGTAGCAACTACTGCCTCCCCGTGGCACCGCCTATCAATGGACTAGATAGTCACTCCCAGAGGGCAGGACTTTCACTCGGCCCAGGTCCACCATATGGTTAAGGCCAACCGCTGCCCCAGTTATGTGCATTTCCAAAAGGCAGACGAGATTCCCATTACTTTCATTAAATACTGCTCACGAATTGGCATTACAGGAACAAAGTAACAAGAATAGGCCATTCACCTCCTTGAGCTTGTTCCTCCAATCATTCAGATTATGGGTGAATGTATCCTGATTGCATTCACCTGCCACATCCCATGATAACCCTAACTAGCAAAAATCTATTGATTTCAGATTTTAAATTATTAAGTGCAACTAACATATACTGGTTTTTGTAGAAGACAGTTCCATATTTCTTGACTAAAGTAATTCTGATATTTTCCACTAAATAGCCAGGTTCTGATGAAAATCACATTTGTCCTAGAATTCTCAGGTGATCAGTGGAAAAAAAATTTCTCTTTATCCACCGTCAATTATTTCCATAATCCTAAAGCCTCAATCATAGTCTTTTAAACTTTTTTTTAATAATCTAGAGCCTCGAAGCCTGTTTGACTTTGCCTCCTATTGTAACCCTTGAAGTCCTGGCAATATTCTGATAAATGTGCACTGCATTCCTTCCAAGGCCTATATATCGCCTTTAAGATGCAGTGCTCAGAAATCTACACATGTTCTAACCAATATTTCATTTACCTGCGGCAGAATCTCATTCTTTTTACCATCTAGCTCTCTAATTATAAAGACTTGTATTTCCATTTGGTATTCATAGCTCCAGCAAAATTTTCTGACACATTAACTTCGGTTTTACTTAGTCATTGTAAGCAAATAGAATGACTGGGCTGGAAGTAGTCTCCCAAAAGGGACTGAACCCTCATGTTAAAAGTGCAAAGGTCTAATGTTTGAACTATCCGGATTGAAGGTTTGCATTCCTTTAGCCCATTTCATTATTTCTTCCACCTGATGACTACATTTTATTAATTTATGTGCACAGATCCCAAACCTCTTTAGACTGCCAATGTTAAGGTTTTCACTAGTTATCAATTTTGGACCAAAACAGGATGATAATGACAGTTACAGATCTGTATTTCTTTAATCAAGTAGCCTTGAGACTAGGCCTTTGTTGGACCACTGGAGGTCAAACACACTCACTTCACACTTTAAAAGTAAATACATCCCTTGACTTGTATCAATCAAGTGCCTAATGGATGAATGATTTTACAATTCGAAATCAAGTGTAGGATTTAGGGTATCCAAACAAACTGAACCAAGTGTAGAATTGATTCAAAGTCATTAGATACCACTGTAAGGAAATCTGGAAATAGCAAAAGTGCTGGGCCACACAGAGGTTGCCGGGCCAAAGTGCTGGATTAGGCAGATGCAGCTTGTCCCTATGTTGAAATCTGTATGTGCAACAGTTCTGTCCTCACACTTATTCTAACATTTTTTTCCCCAATTTATGCTGGCTTTTGTGAAGCTAATGGCAGAGTGATTCAAATTTTCTTGCAATTTATGAGATTTGTACCTCATTACCTCTCCTGCTTGTTATAATTATTTTTTTAAACAGCTAATTACAGCATGTTAATATCTTTAGTAACTGGTCCAAACAATACCCCTACTCCTAGCATATCAGCATCTGTTCTTTTAAATGATTAGCATGCATGCACTTCGTGTTTTCTGTCTACTATGTTTGTCACTTCCTTACTGCTGAATCTAAGATTCAAAACTAACTCCACAACTTGACAACAAAAAAAATCAAGACTGTATCACTCAGTGCAGTACTTAGAGTATTGTGCTGTTTAAGGTGCCTTCTTTCAGATGAAATCTTAAATTGATACCCCCTCTGCCTTCTTTCATAGGTGTTTCAAGCAATTGCTTATCCCTCAATCAGCATCACAAAAACACAACGTTGAGTCATCTCATTGATGTTGGTGAGTGCTTGCTATGCCCAAATTTCCAATTCCAAATCACAACAGACTACACTTCAAAAAGTTCAATATTGGTTAGAAATAGCCTCCAGACAAACAGTTGTGGTGAAAGGTGCTATACTATAGACATAAATACGTAAGATTTCATAAAAAGGGATAACAATAAAAGTAAGATGAAACCTTACAAGCTGGTACTATATGACACATTTTAGCAGGCATGACCTTGAACACTTCATGGGGCCATATCAGCAGAGGTATCCGCCTTGGCAGCAGACTAGAGAGTATAAAAGATTCCTGAAGGCAGGAGAAGAGAAAGACCTAGGATGGAAGATTTAATCTTTTTAAAAATTCATTTGTGGGATGTGGATGTCACTGGCTGGCCAGCAGTTATTGCCTGTCCCTAGTTGCCCTTGTGAAGGTGGTGGTGAGCTGCCTTCATGAACTGCTACTGTGCACTTGCTCTGGATTGAACCACAATGCCATTCTGGAGGGAATTCCAGAATTTTGCCCTAGTGACAGTGAAAGAATGGTGAACTTGAAGGCTATGGTGTCCCCATGTATCTGCTGCTCTTCTCTTTCCAGATGGAAGTACTTGAGAGTTTGGAAGATGCTGTCTGAGGATCTTAGGTGAATTTCTACAGTGCATCTTGTAGATAGTACACACTGCTGCTACTAATGAGCGTTGGTGGTGAAGGAAATGGATGATTGCAGAAGTGGTGCCAATCAAGCAGGCAGCTTTGTCCTTGGTGCTGTCAAGCCTATTGAACGTGGCTGGAGCTGCACAAATCCAGGCAAGTGGGGAGTATTCCATCACACGCCTGACTTGTGCCTTGTAGATTGTAGACAGGCTTTGAGGAGTCGGGGAGTTACTCGCTGCAGTATTCCTAGCCACTGACCTGCTCTTGTAGCCACTATGTTTATGCAGTGAGTCCAGTTGAGTTTGTTCAATGATAACCCCCAGGATGCTGATAGTGGGGGAATTCAGGAATGGTAACACCATTGAAAGTCAAGGGACAGTGGTTAGATTGTTTCATATTGGTGATGGTCATCACCTGGCACTTGTGCAGTGTGAATGTTACATGTCAGCCAAAGCATGGATGTAGCCCAAATCTTGTTTCTGTTTATGGTACAAAGAATGAAATGTAAACAATGCACACAATCGCAAGGGAAAGAGGTTTTGGGTTTTCTGTATGTATAAAGTTCTGTTTAGCCAGCCTAAATCAGACTGACTTGGTTCGAATAAACACAAATTGAACCTGATGATCTTCCCTGTGGTTTGTATATTGTATTAATCACAACAATATAAATGCAAGACTTTGTTTTTATTTGGTTGGGTAGCCCCTCTTACCCTGATTTGAGGGGTGTCCGCTGTTTTGCTCTGCAGGCACTGTAAGATATCCGCCCGCAAGTCAACAATAAACTTCACTCCTCCCTCCAGACGGCAGATGTGGCTGATGAGGAATTTATAGCGAGGGGTTAGCGAGTACCGCAGCCTGTCCTCGGCCTTCAGCAAAGTGCCCAGATCCCGGCTCTGGGCCTCCTTCAGCCGGCCGCACACCTCGGACACCATGCCGTGGTCGGTGCCGTAGTCGGCCGCCAGCTTGGCGAGGAAGACCGGCCTCTCGGCGTCTCCCAGGCACCGGTAGAAGCGCACGAACTCGCGGCTCGGCGCTTCGTGCAGCGCCGGCTTCTGCCGGATCTCGTAAGGGGGCACGGCCGCCACCGTGCGGCGGAGGACGTCGTCCATGTCGGGGCTTGCGGCGCTCGTCGAGCCTCCTCGGGGGGTCGGGGACAGGGTCAGCCAAGCAGCAGCCGCCGCCTTCCGGCGCTGCGCCCACAGCAACGGCCAGCGCACCATTTTCCCCAGGCACCGGGCTCCGCTGCGCCTGCGCGCGGCCTGGTTGCCCTGGCAACAGCGGCCTGTTCAGGCCGGTTTCCCCCTGAGCCAGGGCAGGGGGCAGGGGGCGGGGCGTGGGTGGGGCGGGGTTGGGCAGGGGATGGGGAAGGGATAGAGGGAGGAGGGATAGAGAGGGAGAGGGTGGGATAGAGGGAGGGGTTAGGGGTAGAATCCCTCCTCCAAATCCTGTCCCTTTACCAAAGGTGGCAGGTTCTCCTCAAAGACACACAAATGGGCCCCAGGTGACACAGACAGCTGTTATAGCTCCACCCCCCACCCAATCCACATTTATGGACTGACTGACCTGCATTTTCAATCATGGCCCTCAAAATGCCAGCAGAGACACGGGAAGGAAACTCCAGGCTTCGGAAAATGCATTCAAGCCCCAATTAATATCAAGAAAAATAATGAATGTGTCTGCAAAATAACTCTGACCTCAATTTTATAATTCTAAACCATTCATAAGTCCCACCCCTGGCTGCCTCCTCCCTATATCTGCCATCTCCTTCAACCCAAGACAGAATTCCCAAAATTTACAAGAACAAAGATCAGTACAGCACAAGAATAGGCCCTTTGACCCTCAAATCCAGCATCAACACATGAGGCCTTTCTAAACTAAAAGCTTCTTGTCTCTGTGTTCTGTATCCCTCAGTTCCATGCCTATTTATGTATCTATCAAGATGTCTTTTAAACCTTGCTATTGTAACTGCTTCTACCACCTCCTCTGGCAGCACTTACCACTGTCTGTGTTGGAAAAGCCTCCTTTCACTTTATGTCCACTAGCAATTGACATTTCTACCCTGGGAAAAAGACTCCAATTACCCATTCTATCCATACTCTCATAAATTGTAACTATAGACACATCTCAATTTTAAAAGTCTCAACCCCCGTATCTCCTTCAATCCAACAAGATGGAATTCCCAAGACTATGTAAACACCATCTCAATTTTCAAAAGTCTCACCCTTGTCCCCACCGTGGCCTTGCCCTTTCTTATCTGTAACCTCCCACAACCAAAATGGAGTTGGAGATTGAATGTGAAATCAAATGACAATCTATTTCTTCATCAACACTCCCTTCTTACTATTCCTCCACTATTGTTCCCGACCTGGCCTCATCCCTACTGCTGTGCCCAGCTGTCTGCTCTCACTGCATCGCAGCCTGTTCCTGCTCCAGCCTCCACCTTGGGCTGCCAGCTCCCAATCTCACTGCCAGCCATCCAACAATCATCCAACACATATCAGCCAGATTTGCTAGTACCCCCAGACTGCCTGGATTTCTCCTGGAATCAGTACCTATTCCCCGGTTAACTGGAGAGCAGGCAGCTGCTCTTGAGTTGAAGGCAGCCCGGAGTGGCTGGCAGTGAGATTGGGAGCTGGCAGCCCAAGGTGGAGGCTGGAGCAGGAACAGGCTGCGATGCAGTGAGAGCAGGCAGCAGGGCACAGCTGTAGGGGTGAGGCCAGGTCGGGAACAAGGAAGGTCAAGCCCCATGTGAGGAATGCAAGCCCAGCTAGCTAGGCACTTATGAACTGTGGTGTTGAACTGTTAACTGTGTTTCTTTGGTTTTGTAGTTTTTATTAAGAAGAACTGTAATAATTAACTTTCTTAAATTTTGTTTTCTTTATTTTTCTGCTTTGCACTAAGATTCTGTATCAAGGTCAACACAGTGTGGAGCTGGAGGAACACAGCAGGCCAGGCAGCATTAGAGGAGCAGGAATGTTGACATTTCGGTTTGGGACCCTTCTTCAGAAATGAGGAGGGTGAAGGGAGCTGAGAAATAGAGAGAGAGAGGAGGGGTGGGGCTGGGGAAGGTAGGTGGGATGGTGATAGTTGAGTGCAGGTAGGGAGTGGTGGGGATTGGTCAATGGGATGGGTGGGGTGGATAGGTGGGAGAGACGTCTATCCTCTCCTGTCCATCTTCTCTAATTACAAGTTGCAGACGATTAAAGCATGCAGCTCTTACTTTCAGACTTCCCCATGGCATAACCTTAGCTTTCTGCCTTTTACTTCCAGTTAACCAAGAGACAATAGTGGAGGAATAGTAAGAAGGGAGCGTTGATGAAGAAATAGATTGTCATTTGATTTCACATTCAATCTCCACCTCCATTTTGGTCATGGCATATATTTTAGGGGATAGGTTAGAGCTGAACACAAGACATTAGTAACTGTAGCCAGGGGAAGGAGCAAAGGTAGCACTAGAGTCAGCTTGCCAGAGGGAGACATTGCACATGGGATCCACTGCAGATGGCTTAGATGAGGGCTTAGATGGAAGAGGTATGAGAAAATATTGATGGGTTGTGATATATTGGGAAGCCTGCCAGGCAGCTGGCATTCCATGTCAAGGAATGGAGAAGATTCCAGAAGTAGCTTGGCACAGGACTCTGGGCAGAGTGATGAACCACTCTTTTCTAACTCTATTTGACCACTGGTGAACCCTATTGTCAGGCAACATCAAATGACTGAAGCTGCAGCTTAAATTGCAGCATAAGTATGAGTGCTCAGACCAAGGTCATGAAAACACTGCTTGCTTTCATTTAAGCTTAGACTGTATATGTCACAGCTGTGTAATAGAGTGTACAAATGAGCATGCAGTGTTTCACAACAGTCTAGCAATCAGTCCTCTGATATACCAATAAAATAGTTGAGAATGTGAACCTGAGGAAATAGCATTGGCTTCATGGAATACAAACCTGATGTTCTGTCTCAAGACTCAGCATTCATCCTCACACCCCTACCTCACCATGAGTACCTCTGCTGTTTCCTTTCCACCAGCTAGCCTGATCTTTTGCTGTTCCTGCCATGATAATGCTGTTTATTGCTGGATTGTATTTAGCTGGATCTTCTAAACCTATGAGATAGTAAGAACTGCAGATGCTGGAGTCAGGGATAACACAGCGTGGAGCTGGAGGAACACAGCAGGCCAGGCAGCATCAGAGGAGCATCTCTGGTGACTGCCTGAAAAATAACATCCATTTCAAGCCCACTGACTCCCACAGCTACTTAGACTACATTTCCTCTCACCCACCTTCCTTCAAGAATGCGATCCCCTACTCCCAATTCCTCTACCTCCGCCGCGTCTGCTCCCAAGAAGTGGTGTTCCTCTCCCGCACATCTTAGATGTCCTCTTATGTCAAAGACCGCAACTTTACCCCCTTCGGTGGTCAAAAATGCCCTCAACCGCATCTGTTCCATTTCCCGCACCTCTGCCTTCACGCCCCGTCCTCCCAACAAAAACGAAGACAGAATTCCCCTTGTCTTCACATATCAGCCCACCAACCTCCGTATCCAACGTATCATTCTCCGCCACTTCCACCACCTACAATCCGACCCCACAACCAAAGATATATTTCTCCCCCCACCCCATCTGCCTTTTGTAGGGACTGCGTTCTCTGCGACGCCATCGTCCGCTCCACACTCCCTACTAGTTCCACCACCCCGGCACCTTTCCCTGCAACCATAGGAAGTGCTACACCTCCCTCCTCACTTCCATTCAAGGCACCAAACAAACCTTCCACATTAGACAGAGGTTCACGTGCACATCCGTCAACACGGTCTATTGCATCCACTGCTCCTGATGTGACCTCCTCTATATCAGTGAGACCAAGAAAGGCTCAGAAACCGCTTTGTAAAGTACCTGCACTCTGTTTGTTTCAAACGACAACACCTTCTGGTCATGAACCATTTTAACTTCGCCTCCCACTCCCTGTGTGACATGTCCATCGTGGGCCTCCTCCGGTGTCACAATGACACCATCCACAAACTGGAGGAACAGCACCTCATATTCCGCCTTGGGAGCCTACAGCCCAATGGCCTAAACATGGAATTCACCAGGTTTAAAATCTCCTCAGCCCTGGCCTCATCCCATGACCAACCCTCCCTCTCCTCCCCACCTCCTTGACCTGATGCAACCTGTCCATCTTCTCTCCCACCTAACCGTCCCTCCCACCTCACTAATCCCTGCCACTCCCTACCTGCACTCACCTATCGCCATCCCACCTACCTTCCACAGCCCCACCCCTCCCCTCTCTATTTATTTCCCGGCTCCCTTCCCCCTCCCCTATTTCTGAAGAAGGGTCCCAACCTGAAATGTCAACTTTCCTGCTCCTCTTCTAGACCTATGATTGCTCAAGATTGTACTCCAAGGCCATCTAACATCTCAACTGATATGCAGCAGCTGCCTTCCACCAGTTCTGCTGCAGGCAGTAGTGTAGCACTGTCAGAGCACAGAATGGGCAAAGACACCAGCAAGACCGACAATAAGCAAGTGCATCAAAGTGATAGTCAATTTTTATTTGAAATCTCGCATCCTTAATTGATAAAGTTAATTTATTTTGTGGTGACTTTTACTCTTGTATTGTTGCAAAGTTGGTGGTGTCAATGACAGAAGAAAGGTATGAAATGGGACTGTTGATGAATGGGGAATTAAGGTTTTGTTTCCTGGTTCAACACTCAGTTGAGTCCCTCACAGTCTGGTGCACAAAGAGGTTGTCTACATTACCTCCTCTTTTCCTTTTTCTCTTCTTCCTCCTTCCTTCTCAAGCTGCTGCTGTGGTTTGCTGGTTTCAAAAACTGTTCCCTCTTGAACAAAGGAACATGTGTAGCCCCTTGCACCTGTTACATCTTTTATTGAGACCAAGGCTGATCAGTGACCACTTTCTTAAGAAAAAAGATGATATTCCGCATTTCTTAAGACCTCTGGTTAACAAAAATATATTAACCTCAGATTTAAAATTAACAGTTAATCTGGCATCAATTATGGCACGTGGCTCAGAATTTCAAACAACCACAGCCCTTCCTGTGCAAATTATTTCTTAATTTTACTGCTGAGAGGTCTGACTCAATATTTTTAGGTTCTGCCACCTGGTACCAAGCTCCCCACGTATGAGAAATATAATTGATAGAGAGAAACTCTGTTCCTCTTAAAGTTATGAGAGGGCAGCGAATATAACTTTAATTTATGTAATCGCTCCCCTGAGTCCAAGTATAATTCTGATAA